TAATTTACAGAGGAGTCTGCCAGTGGTGACCTCTTACAGTCCTTGCCGTCTGTATTATTGATTAATGAGGTCAAGGGCAGCGTCACTCACTGCTGACTCTCTCTGGGGACCCGTGTTCACTCTGCAGAGTGCTCCGGAAGATGCTGTCTGCCAGCAGATGCCAAAGAGCCTCCTATGTTGATGCAAGGGTGCTGACAGATCCCTCTGTGCCCACGGGTGCACTCGGGGCCTAAGTCAGATGGTTGCTGGCCTCTGTCTAGAGATAAAAGCCCCTCCACCGAGAAGCAGAGAGAGTGGCTTGTACCCAAACATCAGTGTATCCATGTCTGTGGAAAAGCGAACACTTCCATCACCAAACAATGAGCTGTACTGGTGTTTAAAAAAAAAAAAAAAGAAGGAAAACAATAACCACCTAAATGGAATAGTTTCCGAGTTTTCTCTTTCCCTCCTGGGATATGTCCATAGCATGTCCATATCCCTGTCTGTAGTCTCTGTGGTCACTCCTTCTGCCTTGATTTCTTGCCCGGGCTCTCTTTAAAGCAGTGTATTTTTATATTGAGCTGTGAGTGCGTGGAAGTGTTTTAGTCACTCATTCGTGCCCAACTCTTTGCACCCCTACGGACTGTAACCCACCAGGCTCCTCTCTGTCCATGGACGGACTGTAACCCACCAGGCTCCTCTCTGTCCATGGAATTCTCCAGGCAAGAACACTGGAGTGGGTAGCCACTTCTTCCTCTAAGGGATATTCCTGACCCAGAGACTGTGGACAGATTCTTTACCATCTGAGCCACCTGGAAGCTGTGGTCACTGCTTTTTTGTCTCTCACCAAATGCCCCTGCATTTGGTCATGGAGAAAAGAAGACCTCCATGGGGGATGTCACAGATGGGTGTCTGCTTTCACTCTGCCTCTGTTTACGCATAGTAGCACAGTGTGTGGGGTCAGGACCATGAGACCCAAGCTTCTGGGTTCAGATCCTAGTCCTCATCCCACTGCTAGTTGTACCATTGTGTTCAAGACCTCAACTTGGCCATGCCCACACTGCCAGCCAGTGAGGGTGACAGTGCCCACCTTGTTGGATGCTGTAGGACTGAATGAAATAACCCTTCTGGGTCCTCTTGTTTGCAGGAAGTGTCAGGTAAGTCTTTTTATTGTGGTGAGTAGTGGTCACAGCTTTCACTATAGATGCTGCAGAATCAAGGATGCTTTAATACCTTCGAGAGTGTGGAGACTTATTCTTCTCTGGTTTGACTCCTTTCTTGTCCTCCAGTTCATTGCTTCTAGAAAAAATTGGTTTTGCCAAAATAGACTCACAGACATAGAAAACAAACCTACGGTTACCAAAGTGGAAAGGGGGTGGGGGAGGGATAAATTAGGAATTTGAGATTAACATAAACACACTAATTGTATGTAACAGGTAACAAGGGCCTACTGTGTAGCACAGGGAACTATATTTAATATCTTGTAATAACCTCTAATGAAAAAGAATATGGAAAAGAATAGATATACATATTAGATATATATATATAACTGAATCACTTTATACCTGAAACATTGTAAGTCAACTATATTTCATCTTTTTAACTTAATAACTAAGATTAGTTTTGGTAATTGTAGGCTTTGAATCTATAGTTGAAATGTGGGGATGGTCTATACATTAAAAAGTACTCTATTTATAAAGATACAGTAAATCAGTATCCAGGCAAATCTGACATTTAGACCTAGTGTGATGTGTATTTCTTAGGTCAGTAAATATAAATGGATAACTTGCTTTACACTTTCTCATTTTTAATTTAGTTTTTATTTTCATTAAAGTTATACACGCAAAGCTTAAAGAGGCAACCAGTTCCAGGCAGCTTATTATGAAAGACAGCCACCCTCCTATCCCACCAGCGCCAACCTGCCACCCTTCAGAGGCAACTACTTTCCACTAGTTTGGTTGTTCCTGATACTCACTGCATGTCTCCAGATCATGTGCTTCTATAGCAGTGACTTGACCTTTCAGTTTCAAGTATTCTCCAAGGCTTTACAGTGTGGAGGAGGAGGGTTAAGGTCTTTTTCAGCCCTGCTCACCCTGAATGCCCAGCCCTGCATCCTCACCAAACACTTACACCATTTACTTAGACAGCAGTCTACACTGCATTTATCATGACTGTGTGACCACTGTTTATAGCTCAGCCAATAACTAGGTAATGATTCATCTTCCTTTCCCTCACAACTCTGTGTTTTCCCCATGGTTTATGATTGTCTTTTTTGTTGTTGTTCATTTGCTTAGGTTTCAATGCTCTGTCCCCAGAGCTTTCCAGTCTCCTTTCTGTGGGTTTGGAATTATATTTCATCGATTTTGTCCTCCTGGCATCATTTCTTCTGTGTCTTCTGACCAGCTGCAAAAGTTTCTTTTAGAATCTCCTCTTACCATCTCTCTAGAATCTTCTTTTACCACCATTCTGGAGATCTTTTCTTATTACAGTAGATTTTTGTTGTTCGATGTAAGGATTTATTTTGCCAACATTCTATATAACAAGTGTTTTACTCCCTGATTTTAGTGGAGCAATCTTCTAGTAGCTTTTTGGAAAAGGATATGTGGGAAGTAAATTTTTTGAGATAATTAAGCTTTTATTTTTATTCTCCTGTCACACTTAATGAACAATTTGGTCAGGTGTAGAATTCCAGGTTGAAATCATTTTCCTTTCTAATTTCGAAGTCACTCCTCCATTGTCTTCTAGCTTTCAGCTCTCTGGCTGAGAAATAAAATATTATTCTTTGTATATAATCCTGTTTTTCTCTCCAGTGACTTCTAGGACTCTTTTATGGTTCCAGTATTCAGAATATTCACAATGACATGCCTTGGTGTGCATCTTTTTGTTCTTTGTGTTAGAAAAATGGAAGTCCTTAACTTCTGAGAACTTTTCTTTAATTATTTATTCAATCATTTCCTCTGTTTCTGAAATTTCTCTTCTGTAAATGCCAGGTCTCCTGTCTCAGATAAGGTGGGGAATGTACAGTCACTGGTCTATTTGAAGTGAGGGAAGAAGTTTGTGGTTAAATTCTTTTTTAAGAAATTTTTTATTTTATATTGAAGGATAGTTGATTAACACTGTTGTAATAGTATTAGGTGGGATTAAATTCTTCAACAGTCTTGCAGTCATCCCGTTTTTAGGCCGCCTTTACCACCATTTCTAGAACTTGGTCCACTGCCAGCTGAAAGACTTTGATTGTTCAATTGTTCTGCTTTCCAGCCTCCAAAATTTTCTTGTTCTGATCAATTCTTCTAGTCTCTTTCTCTCCCAGGTTTATATCTTGTTTTTTAAAAAAAAATCCCTTTGCTGTAACCCTGTTATAGTATAACAAGAAAGAGCAGTGGTACTGGGATGTTCAGTCCACCTATCTTTAACTAAAAATCCAAGTGATTTTTAAGAAAATTCAGAGTTGATATTTGCCATGTGTTTTAAGTCCATTTGCTTAATTATAATAAATTTTAAAATATTCACCACCTTTTATGACCTGATGGAACATGAACAGTCTAGCCCAATTTGTCCTCTTCCATAGATGGTGAGTGGTGGCCACAGGCTCTAAGAGTAAACAGTCCAAGGAGAGATGATAAAAGGCTAGAGAGGACTCTGTGTTCTAAAGTGATCCTTGTGGCAGAAGTCCTTTTCTTGACAAGCCCTTCATCTGTAACTTGCATCTGCAAATACCAAACCAAGGAAGGCAAAATTAGCACAGAAAATACTCAGTGTCCCTACAGTGGTGGAAGAGTGTGTTCATAGAAAGAGGCTGGCCTCGTTATTCATTTTTAGTTCTATTTAAGTCATATCTTTCATGCTATTTGAATCCAGAATACTCTCTCTGGTTTGCCTTTGCCCTGATCTTTTCTTTACAATTGGACCCAGTCATCCAGGAGGGAAGAGACACCAAAGGTGGCATCCCTGGTATCCCTTTTCCAGTTGTCTTTGGTCCCTGTTCTTGTCGCAGCTCAGAACTGCGACATTTGCTGCGTCCTTTCCCACTTATGAGGCAAGGGCAAAGGCAGCTAGATGAGTCCTGTAGCCGTGGGGTGGCTGACCCTTTCCTAGGAGGTGGGAGGGAGTGAGAATGACAGCCCAGGAGGCACCCCAACCTGCGACTCTCCCAGGCTCCTTTTGGGAAGAGTCTGCAAAAATGGACCTACTTTGCAAACCAGAGGGAAAATACCAGGTTTCCCTCCATGAAAGACTTAGGGGAGAGGACTCTCCTCCAGAATAGGGCCCCTCCTCCCACGATGCCCTGCCCGACCCCTCCCCTCCTTCGGCACCAAGGGTCTCCTCCTGCAGGAAGTCCACACACAGGAGGCAAAGGCTGCTTAGCCTCCAGCGAAGTGTCCACTGGTCTCAGCAGAGCCACCACCTCTAAGATAGCATTTTCTTCACATCAATAGGCAAATCAATCTTTTAAAAATTCTGATTAAGCCAGAGGGCAAGTGCCAACAAGGCCAGGCATATCATAGAGATGAGAGAAGAGGCTGGGGGCCTTCGGAAGGGCTTGCCCAGCTCTGGGCAGAGTGCTGGCAGGGACAGCAAGTCAGGAGGCTCCTCCCCTCTCCTTGGCCTCAGGGATACCAAGGCTGGCAGATTCCTGACAGACTTCAACCTGGTTTTGCAGAACCTTCCTCAGATAGTCCGTCTAACCCAGCCTTGCCTCTCCTTTGGGGGCCAGATCGGAGTAACAGCTGGGCAGCCCTCCGCCTTCCCCAGCTCCCTCCCTGTCTTCTCTCCTGGGCGTCTCCCCATAATGAAGTCCTGGCAGGTTCAAACCCATCTTGGCACCCAATTTTCAGAGACCAGACTACTATGCCTGAAGACCTTCAAGGAGTCCCTGTTGACTGGCAGAGGGACTGGGCCTCGGGCAGAGAGGGAAGCGCTGAGCTGTGTGTCTGGGTCGTCAGTGGCCGCACCGCCAGAGCCAGGCTGTGTCCCTCGTGCGGCCCATGTCCTGTCTCTCACCTGCTGCCCCTTCCCCCCAGGTCGTGGCTCTCTCCTCCTGGTGCCTGCTGAGGGACTCGATTTACTACACGCTGTCCGTGGTCGCGCTCATCGTGGTAAGTGTGCGCCGGGCACCTCGCCTCTCCTCTCCCCATCACCCTTCTCAGCTCGGGGCACCTCGGGACTCCTCCAGGTGCATGGAGGCAGCTGCTTTGGTCACCCAGAGCCCAGCCCGGTGGTTCTGGTGCTCAGAACAGGAGGTGGCTCTGCTCACCTGGCTCCATGAGCAGCCCCTGCTGCTTTCCCGGGATTCTCATGACCCTTTGCTCTCACTTTCCTCACGGGCTCCGCTGTAACTCCCTTCAGTGTCCCTGGGTGCAGACCTTCCTTCCTCGTCCTGCCTGTCCCACACTCTCCGTGGCCATTACCGCCTTCATGGGGACACCCCCACACTGTGTCCCTAGTGGTGGGTGTCTCTACTAGATACCTTCATGTCCCAGGTCCAAGTGTCTCTGCACTTAGAATGATTTCCCCAAGGCTGGACCTCCTCCTGTATTCCAGCCCCCCACTCCCATCCTAGCCACCCAGCCTGGGAAGGATATTAAACGGATCTTCCCCCAGCTCCCACCATACACATTGCCTTCATTGTCCTATGGATTTTCATTTTGTAAAGATCTCCACAGTGTGCCCCCTGTAGCCCATCTTACTTGAGGCTCTTTGCATCTCTGGCGCAAACTGACAGAGCTCATTGCAGATTAATGTAACAAGTAGCATCACTGCCAGCCACCCCCTACCCCGCACCTCCAGCAGTCCTCAGAGCCGTGCAAATGCCGTCTCTACAAAGAACACCTGCAAATGCCAGTCCTTTGTTTAAATGAGCAGTGACTCCAGGTCTCCTGTGGGGACAAACCCAGGCTGAGCCATCCAGGAAAAGAAGGGTGGCAAAGCAGAAAGAACACTAATGAGGGTGGGAGATCTGACTCCTGGGCCTTCCCTTACTCACTCTCATGACCTTAGAGGAATCAGTCTCTCCAGGTCTTAGTTTTCGCACCTACTGGACAGGAATAGATCCGCTCAAGGATTTACTTACCTGTTTACAAAGAATTTACCTGTACAGTATTTCATTGTAAATCTCTATGCAAATAAGGGCTTCCCTGGTGGCTCAAGACGGTAAAGAAGCTGCCTGCAATGCAGGAGACCGGGGTTCAATCCTTGGGTCGGGAAGATCCCCTGGAGAAGGGAATGGCAACCCACTCCAGTGTTCTTGCCTGGAGAATTCCACGAACAGAGAAGACTGGTGGGCTACAGTCTATGGGGTCACAGAGTTGGACACGACTAGTGACCAACACATACACACAAGAAATAAGTCAAAAGTGACATTTAATACAAGACTTTGCCCAAGGAATCAGATGGGTACTTCAGTCAATAGCAAATCCTACAGCAAAGATCTTGGGTTTACAACCACAGCCCCCACATTCCAAGGGTGACAGATGATCAGGAGAGTGGAGACCAGCCCCAAGGAGGAGCAGGGCTCAGACACCCGCATTGGAATGAACACACAGTCCATCTATAGAATTCCCGGTCAGCAGACTAGAGGATGCGCATGAGCTCTGTGTTCCTGTACCTGTGGAAAAGGCTCAATCACCCCAGATCTGGAGGCCTCCGTTCACCCAGCCCAGACTGCTGACACGTGCTTTGCAGGGGCTCTGTCCTGCAATGTCCCACCTGGTATAGATCACGTGTGATCAGCTCTTCTGCTGTCAAGGGATTTTAGGATGATTTGTGAAAGTCATTTTTTTCAAGAGACATATGGGGGGGGAGTGGTAATGAAAGCAGTTCTCCACTTTGTTGAATTCTAGAGAGATGCCCACCCACTCCCACTAGAGACAAGGTAATGAGACAGAACAGCGAAATCCAAGACCCAGCCCCACCCCAGGAGCAAGGGCTCTGTGATGTCCATGCCTGTCAGCAGACTTGCAGACATCAGCTTCACTCTGTTTTCACACAGACGCTTCCTGGAACTGTGTGTGAAATAACCTGTCTTCTGTTAAGTGTATCTGGACATGTTTGAGACAGAACAAATACATCGTCGCTAATGACGTGTGAAGAAGCGAGGCAGTTTTGCTTCCTTGGGCTGCGGGTGATGCTCACGCGAGCAGGGTCTTTGAGCAAAGCAGTTACCTACTGTGGATGAATCAGAGCTGAGCCAGCTGGGCATGGGGCGCCAGCGGTTCTGTGTTCCCTCCGACAGCAACAGTCAACAGCAAGTGATTCTGTGCTGTGACTTAGAGACTGGACTGGGTATTTACTGAGCTGATGTCGAGCCTAGATTTTTATGATCTTGAGAAAAATTACATTTCTCCACTGTTAGGAATTATGCAAAAGAGAACATCTGAGTCCTGGGGTTTGGTCCTGGTTCTTTTGATTTTAATGGTGTCTCTCCAAATTCAGCAGCACTGACATGCCCCGCGTGTCTCCCAGAAACATGCAACCCAGAGGTTTTTAATCCAGTAGGGCCTGGGGTTGGACCCAGGAAATTTCAGTTTAACCAGGATCTTCCGTCATGATTCTGATGCCAGCAGCATCCACTGCACTTGCAGAAACTCAATCTCAAAGACAGTCGGATACTATTTCCTCAGACGTTCACCTGCTGTGGGACAGGTGTCATCTCCAATACACTTGGAGAGCCACAAAAGGGAGGCATCATGGCAGCTTGGTGGTCTGGATTTCTGACAGCTGTTTGTTGTTGGAGACCTTTTCACATGAGACTTTAAAACAGCATGAGGAGCAAAACAATCTAGTACCCAAAGAGCAGCACTTAGGTAAGGAAGTTTCTCAGTGTCCCCAGACCCCTTCCATGCGCCAGCCCCAGGCTGCAGCTCCACATGCTGGATCTTTCTGTCAGGTTTCCTAATCTCCTTCTATGTTTCCCCTAGTGTCATGGTAACATCGTCACTTTTGGGGGGGCAGATTTTCCTTGCATAGCACGAAGCTTTTCCATTGGACCCTGCAATGGGCACTGAAAAGTCCTCTACTTAGAAGCTCTCCTCCTACCCAGAAAGAATTACCAACCAGCCAAATAATTAAACTGTTTGGGTATTTTTTTTTACTCTCTCCCCTTTTTACGGTTCTGAAATGTTCAGAAGATGGGCCTCTGAGTTGCCACAATGAAGAGCTCATTCACCTGGAGGGCAAGTCCCAACGAAGAGGGACCAGATGCTGCTTCTAAATACACTTGCTCGGGCAGAGCAGCCCTGAGGACAGTCTGTGAGGGCTGGGAGTCTGAAGCACTGGGAAAGTCGATTTCTCTGGGAGACTTGGGGCCCCCGGGCCAGGGAGAGCTGATAGGGTGCTCCTCCCTGGTCTGCGAGACAGCTGGCCTGGAGGCTGATGCAGAGGCCGGGCCCAAAAGCAAAAACACCGCAGGGATGTTCTGAAGCCAGCAGAGCTTCAAACAGTTAGCTTAGAGACAAGGGACTCAATTTGGTATCTGGGATGCAGCTAACCTTTGCTCTCTGCTGTCTTCTAGCTCATTTATATGCTGCTGATTGTTAAGCCTGCTCTCCTCTAAAGCATATAGTGTGAGTCTGTGCCCTTCTCCTGCCCCATCAGGTGTTCCCCCTTTAGTCCCCGGGACACTCTACAGTGACGCATCAGCCCTGGAGAAGCCGGATGTGGCCCAGGAGGCTCGCCCCATGACTTGGGTCTCTCTCTGCAAGAGAAATGTCACTGTTTAGGTCCTGAGAGAGTCCCGGGTGCTGTCCCATGCTTGATGACATGCCCATCTACCTGAAGGATAGTCCGCAGACCCTCACAGACCCTCTGGCTGCCTCTCTCTCACACCAAGGACCCACCCCCAACTGACTGTGGGAGTTCTGGCCTCCTCGTCTGCTTTCTCCAAATTCCAGCAGGCCAGATAGTTTCCTTTATTGAAATGTTACTGTAATTTACATAATCATGTAATTTACATAAATGCAAATGATTCATTTCATCATCAATCTAACAGCTGCCCTAAAAGGAATGCTTTATTTTTACCCTTCATCTCTGCTTCAAGATCAGGGATTTTGAGCATCAGGAGAAGGGAAGCTTGGCCAGGGTGGGGGTAGCCAGGGAACACGGAGAACCCCATGAGACAGGCTCCAGATAACTTATTGGGGTTCCCAAATCCAGCCGGGGGGGTGCTGCCCTCCTGGAGAAGGGCCAGATGGGCCATTGGCAGTTGGGGGGTCCCAGGGGCAATCTAAGTGCTGGCACAGCAGGAAGAGCTTATCTAAGGTAATGCTCCCACCTCACTCAATGCAGCCCCCAACTCTGAAGGAGATTCCATGGGGACAAAGAGAGACAGGTCAGCTGAACCAACCATCAAAGACAGCCTGGAGGGTACTGTCCCATATGGTAGCCACCAGGCATGTGAGCCTTTGAGCTCCTTTTTTTAATTTTTTATTTTATGCTGGAGTATAGCTGATTTACAGTGTTGTGTCAGTTTCAGGTGTACAACAAAGTGACTCAGTTATACATACACATGTATCCTTTTTCAAATTCTTTTCCCACTGAGCCATTGAGCTTTTGAAAGCCAGCTAGTGAGACTATGGAACCGAACCTTATCTCATTAATTTCAGTGCATGTGGCCACGTGTGGCTAGCGCCTATCATCTGGATAGCATGGATGTAGACAGCAAACCCTTCCATGGGAAGTATCCCCACATTCTCACCCTTTCAACAAGCACAGGCTTCATGCTTCACAGGACTGAGTACAGCACTGGGCCTGACGATGAAGTTTCCCTAGTTCAATACTCATCATCTCTCGAGCTGCTGTGATAGGAGTCCCATTTTACAGTTGGTAACACCGAGGCTCTAGAAATCCAAGGATTTCCCCGAGGTGAGGTAGCTGTCCTCTACTCAGGTCTCCCAGAGCAAGAGAAGAAGATGCACAACTATATCAGCCCAGCAAAGAATTCAGGTTTTTCATCCAACAAAACCTGCCTCATACAGTCTGATTTTACTGCACCTAACATGCATCTGCCTCTACAGAAGCACCCGAAATACCTCTTTACCCAGAGACTGAATATCAGCCTCCCTCTCCTGGGAGTCTTTCATTAAGACGACTCATCTTCAGT